CATTTAAATAAAAAGCATCGAACGTAGTCATTCGTTTTTGAAAATAAAGTATAAACAAAATGAACTTACGAGGGAAGGTCCTCAAGTGTTACCCGCCAATTTGAATCTAATATATACCAGTTTGTAGAGCTCGATAAGAGTACAAGAAGCCCAAAATGGTTAATCCACATCCGCTGTTCATCTCAAATAATGATCGTTTTATTAGGTTTTCAATTTTTCCACAAGGCGTATATGAAGAGATTGAGTTATCAAATTCTGATCTGCTATCTTGTCAATAGAAAGTTCAAGAAATCGCAACTCAAAAAAATGATTTATTCTTAAGATACTGAATGTTAAACACACTTGATTTTTTAACTTTTTCTTCGGATACATGTCGTTTTTTTGCATATTATATACATCGAAAACAAAGCATTCAATGTCTCCATGTTTTAGGCCTCTTCTAGTCTCATCATGCTCTACAAACTTGTAGATATTAGATTGACAATGGTGCGTAACATTTGATGATCTTTTCTACTCAGTGTACATATTAGTGCATCTATTTTATGAGACATTTTGAGGCTTAAATGTGACTATGAAATTTCAATATAGTTTTTTAAACTCTCTTGAAATGTACCGTTCAAATGATAATCAATCGCTAGTATAAAGACCACAAAAATAAGACATGAGCAGAGACACACTTTTGCGAACTTGTTATCGTCAGTTTTTTGTATTCGATTTGCTAAACTATAGACTAAGCGTGTAAGAATAAACAACTTCACATATATCAATAAATGTCAGCAGACCAACAATTTTGTTGTGATAGAACCTTCTTTATGTATAACTGCGTACTAAATTGTCTCACCGATGTCACTGTAATATTTTTGAATGAACTATTCAAGCAAAGGTACATTATATTAATTAAAATACTCTTCATAGTATCACATTGGTGATATTTTGCTCATTTAATGCTTTTACTTTTTCGTATTCATCAGTCGTTGTAAGAAATATGATGCAACAACAGAAAATTAATTATTTAAAAAACTGAAACAAACAGCTAGCCAATCTATAACCTTACTCATTCTTTTCTTAATCCTCATCTACAGTTTCTTCTAGAATCTTTTCTATTTTTGTTAGTTTTTCAATCTATACTTGGGATATGTTATAGTTTGTCTCAAATTTCGAACCGAGTTTTGAGTGAAACGTAAAAAAAGCAAGAAAATTTGCGCTAGAGGTTTTGATCACTAAATCTTAAGAATAAACCAAAAACAACCTAATCAATCAAGTTCAATTTTTCTCTCAATATCTCCTTGCCACTACAGAGATTTTCAAACAAAATTAAAACCTGTTGTCTTTGATCTTCGAACGTTTTTTCAACTTTTCATCTCGTACTTAAATAAAACACTGTTTAGACATTCAACGAAATGAATTATTTCACCCACATAATGATTTAATTGGCAGTCATCGAAGATTTTACCTTGTCGAAACCTTTAATTGGTTGTGTCACATGATCTAAAAGAAAGAACACACCTGTATTTCAGCTACCTTGCAGAATGGAGTGCTGTCCAGTGGCAGTTTCAATAGCCTGACACGTCCCTATAACTATGGCTAACTGTAACTCTGAACAGAAGGCTGATCTGAATATATTCAGTATGCCATCGAATAAGTAGTCCGAGAGAAATAGCCTTTTGTGACTTGTCAGGGTTCATTCCAGGGATGGTGATATTGAGGTTTACACAAAGTACCTAATGAATAAGGATTGAACAAAGTAACCATTTAGGTTCCACAAAATGAAATAACTAGATTTTTTGTTATTTGAAAAGTGCCACATATATATGTATATACTTGTGTAAATATTACCATGCAACTTAGAGTGCTCAAAAGCAATTCTGATCTTCACTTATGAAGATGCTTCAATTGAATATTATCAAGACTTCTTATAACAGAAAATTCATTTTATCACCTTCTGAAATGCGATATTAAAATATTATCAGGATGGATATAGACTTAACAAAAAGAAAGCTGCATCAAATATCACGGTTACATTTGCGTAATTCAATATTATAATTTGTTGATATTTTTTTATTATTAGAATATTAGTACCAAGTGTTTAGCTCTTTTCATGTCATCATAAGCCATATTAATATTCTTCTAGAATCACTTACAATAGACAGTCATTAATACAACGATGTGTTTTGTTAATAAATTCACATGTTAGTTGGTGTTGTTACGAAATAAAACTTCGAAGATAACTTCAAAATATCGAAAATGAAATGAATGAAACCAGTCGATCATGATCAAAATATTTAGAGAGTTAGATTATTTTCACAGACTTCCTTGATTTTGTTAATTTTCTGTGTAAGATTCCTAATAGTAATAGTAAATGGTGCGTTTAAAAAAATATTTCAAATATCTTTTTAAAGAAATCTTACCAAAAGAATTATAGTAGTCTAATGAATGTCACGCATTGGCTTTCTATTGAGCAAAGTATTTGAAAGGGAAACAGACTAGAATACAAAAATAATTATGTTTATTTAGAAAAACTATGGGACTAATCCTCCTATCTTATCATTTGCGTTGAATGTAAAACAGATAGATTGATTGATTGAGTTAACCATCTTTCTGCTATTAGTCCTTCTCACTTAGTATACTACTTAGAATATGATATAAATCAATAATTCATAGATGGTACAGATTGGATCCTGTTTTGCACTGTAAATTATTTTTCAAATAGACATGGCTTGAAAACACCTTTACTCAATATATGATCTATGATGCTGTATATAATAAATAGTCTGAATGAAATGAGCTACGTTTGTTCCCTTTTTTTGTTTTGCAGGCATTTTATGAAACTTTGTTCAATGGTATAAAGTTAGATTTTTCTACATCGCAAAATGGTATAACTGCTGTTGAAATATTAATCATTATTCTACGTTAAAAAACATAAAAATAAAAGATCTCCCAAAGTCGATAGTTCATCTTCATAACAACAAAAGGGTGTGGGTATGGGTATGTGTGCGAGTGTAAATCAAACCAAAAGATCTACAACAACACCCATACCCAACACCAACATCCACTTACATCGACACCCACCCCGCACACACATCCGCACCCACACTCCATACCGACATCCACACCCGCAATGCGATCGCCGTTACGCTGTAACTGTCGCGCAGTTTGATTGCAGTCGAATACATGAGTACTCAGGTTATCATTGGCTATACTACCGTATTTGGCAGACATGCTCTCGAACATTTTTCTTTGCTTCCGTTCTCTTTACTACTGCTACAATTATCCAGCACTCGTTGAAAAGCACTGCACTCGTGATGGCTGTACTTATCACGTTATTCTCTGCTACATTAAAACTTCGAACATTATTGTTAGCTCGCTTCGACGAGCTTAACTTTGTTTATTTATTTCATATGTTAAATCTCTTCAAAATGTCCTTAAAATCACTAGGTATATATACATCCATAGAGAGGAGAAGAAGAACAAGAGAGAAAGAAGGAGAAACAACAATAACAATAACAATACAGTAGAAAGAAGAAGGGAGAGATAAAGAGATAGAGAATCGAGGGTAGGCAGAATATGAGTCACCGTTAACAATTATTTTTCGATTTATTGATTTTTCTTTATTCATCACAAAACTGATTCAATGTTCTTGCTAATCTTTTACATACTTGCCCATTGTAAGCAGAAAGAATTGAAGTTTCTCAACACATGCATCTGACGTGATAAAGGAACAGGCATGAAATTATCCAGCGAAGGTATCATTCGACCATGTTCCTTCCTGAACTTTACCGTTAGCATAGTAAAGCGTGCCTTTTCCATTCCTCTTCTCATCCTTGAATTGTCCCTTGACTTATTCATAGATTGTATCAATTATTCTTTCTTATACGTCAACCATCATAACAGATCAGGAGAAGTATTTGTGAATATTCCTTCTCGTATCGATTTCCATTGGACCACGTATAAACGCCTTGACCTGCTAGTTTATCATCGACCCAATCACCTGTATACTTGTTCCCATTGGCATAGTAAAGCGTGCCTTTTCCATTCTTCTTGTCATCGACGTAATCACCTACGTATTTCTCCCCACTGGCATAGTAAAACGTGCCTTTTCCGTTCATCTTGTCATCGACGTAATCACCTATGTATTTCTCCCCACTGGCATAGTAAAGTGTGCCTTTTCCATTCCTCTTGTCATCCTTGAATTGTCCCTTGAGTTATTCATAGATTGTATCACTTATTCTTTCTTATACATCAACCATCATAATAGATCAGGAGAAGTATTTGTGAATATTCCTTCTCGTATCGATTTCCATTGGACCACGTATAAACGCCTTGACCTGCTAGTTTATCATCGACCCAATCACCTGTATACTTGTTCCCATTGGCATAGTAAAGCGTGCCTTTTCCATTCTTCTTGTCATCGACGTAATCACCTACGTATTTCTCCCCACTGGCATAGTAAAACGTGCCTTTTCCGTTCATCTTGTCATCGACGTAATCACCTATGTATTTCTCCCCACTGGCATAGTAAAGTGTGCCTTTTCCATTCCTCTTGTCATCCTTGAATTGTCCCTTGAGTTATTCATAGATTGTATCACTTATTCTTTCTTATACATCAACCATCATTATAGATCAGGAGAAGTATTTGTGAATACTCCTTCTCATATCGATCTTCATTGGGCCAGGTATAAACGCCTTGGCCTGCTATCTTGTCATCGACGTAATCACCTATGTATTTCTCCCCATTGGCATAGTAATACGTGCCTTTGCCTTGTTTTTTCCCATTCTTCCATTCTCCTTAGTCTTTATTCTTTTATGATGTGAAACAGTTGATAAGCTTTGATCAACATCGAATATCGAAATCTAAGAGCCAATGATATTGGAACAGTGGCATCGTATTTATTTCCATTTCCATCACTCCAGGTTTTGAACGTTGAAGACTTGCTGCTTGACAATGTTTCTTTGTAGTCTAGTGAGTAACAATCAACTTCTACTTAACTCGTTATAAAGAGCTACTCACCCATTGAAGGCTTCATTGGTGTGGCGAGACTCATAGTTGCAAAGGATGATGGTAATTCTTGATCATTTTCATCTGTCAATTCGCGCAAATGTATCACGTTTAATGATGCATGATCTAGAGCGTCACTAACAACATGAAACCGAGTACCCAATGGAAGAATAACTTCATTTTCTTCGGGAAAGTTACTATAGGCTGATATACCTTTTCCATTCTTTGCTTCTATCATGAGCAATGTTGATACGGATCCAAGAAACTGTTTTACAACTTTAACTGAAGATGAGCAGGAACTAAAACACCACCATGTTAACTCATCAGCTTCTTTATAATTTTTACTAATGTCACCATTGATACCACGCCATAAATTGATTTGAAGACTAGGTAATTTTTTCAGCGCGCTATCAAATAATTTGAGATAGCCGTGCCAAGGTACTAATACTGATCGATCTTTCTCACGAAGCACTGCGTTTAGTACTCGATAGAGACTTTGTTCACCCCAATCCATAGTATATAGGTAGATCGCTGCTGATTCGTCACGAGTAAGTCCATGTTCTGAAGGAAAATGGCATTCAGTCTTTGCAATTTTAATGAATTCATCTAATTGATCTATTTTAGAGACAATTGGATCAAGAGCTTGTCGAAGCGGAAGTAGTGGATGCGTGCGATATCCATAGACAGGGGGAAGCCTTGTTGGTTTATGATCGACGTTAGTGAATCGAAGCATTATTATAGAATATGCAGAACTTTGTTGATCTTGACGATGTTGTATTCACTTGTGATGATGATACGACGTTGAGATAGTGATACTTTAAATTTTTCACACGTTTTTCTCTTTTTCACTTTGAATTATTCCACATCTATATATATTGAAACCTATGAAAACAACATTCTCTTTCTTTATTTTATTCTTTTAGATTGAAATAAATTTCGCAAATAAGGTAAAAGAGGTATTGCTGTAGAAACGAAGATCATTTGTTGACACTGTTCTGCACCGACATATACCACTTGTAAAAAGAAAAGGAGAATGAGACAAGAGAAAGAACGAAGAAAGAGTAAGGTGAAGAATAGTTTAATAAAGAGTGAGATTCGAAGTTTATTACGTACTTTACAAGCATTAAAAAAAAACAGACCTTCATTTTAAATCTATAAATTTTTTTATATAGATCATAAAGTTGGATATTCGGAGTTCGTATCTTAGATGATAAGATGAAGCTTTCGAATTAAGTAGTTTTATAAGGTGCCAAAAGTGTGAAATACTACAACGATTGGAATTGAAAATATAAATGATTAAGCTGACTAAATGATGCCTCACAGTTTGTTCTCAATGTCACCATTCAATGTGATCATTTCTCTTGAGTTCTAAGTTTTAGTTTTGATTAAAAGAATGTCTGGTAATATTTTATAACAACGCTGTATCACTTTTTATTTTTGTATGCAATTAAGTTTCAGATGGATTTCAACAAAGTTTTGATCGTTCTATGCGAAAATATTCATTATCGCCTTAATCCTTGTATTCAAAAATATGTTTTAGCTTAAACTGTTGAAGATGTGTGAAATTCAATTCAGTAACTTCTCTCAGAACATGGGTTCATTGGTAATAATTCAACTAACAACACTATGATTAAATATTTGATCTTTTTCTACGTACAATATATTTAGATTGCTTTCTCTAGCACATATATCATTAACAGGTCATTTTCATGATGGAGCAAAGAAAAAAAAAGAAAAAAAATTGTTCCATAATGTCGAGAAGGCAAGCACAACCGTCACGAATTATTTTGTATGGTGATGAAGAACAAATAGAATCGACATGACGTTTCTCAAGTTGGAAAGAAATAGCGTGTACAGTTGCATTGATGTATTCGGAGTGGAAGACATTTTTTCTCTTTCGTATAAAGTGTTTCTTTCAAGTACCTCTCATCCATTTTCAATACAGAGCGAAGCGTTTCGTGAATGATTGATTGGGATTTTTTTTCTAGCTACCATTGTTTTGTTCGATCTATATAGAAAATGATGGAGAAAAGGACGAATGCACATTGCTTTGTTACCATTTACTCGTTGAAAGAACAAATAGTATAATTCAAAATGATCTGAAAAATAAGAAAACATCATAAATTCTCCAGTGACACATGGGCATACTTCTCATGAATACGTCCTCTGAAATTAAAACTTTCATACTAATCAAAAATTTGAACAATAGAGAAATTTCAATAATATTATAGAAACAAAAATTGCATCACCTTATACATTCAGCTGCATTAACACTTTATTTCTTAATCCTCTATTATCTGAATATTTTCTATTATCAAGAACATTGATTGATAAATCAATATGTCCAGAGAAATAATACATGGTGAAGTTACAAAAAAAATATCAGGGGTCAAAATATTGAGAATTTCGACATCACAAACGTCTACAAGTATATATATCTCGTTTATGCTTTTACTCTTGATCAATGACATACACTGATGCTAAACTCATCGATCATATTTCTGTATATAATAATCTTGGTAAAAATATTTTCGTATCATCAATCAAATTGAACAAAAAAAACATCCTTGAGCGAAATATTTCATTCATTGATAAAGCGATCTCGATTTGAAAAATTTTGTTAAATTTGAAGATTCCTGATTTCAATCTTTAATATATACTCAAAAAAACAAAGACTATCGTTTTTCTCCTCATTATAGCATTAGTTGATAATTATATTGCATCTATCCTTCAAAGCCAAAATATTACTTGAGAGAACCTTCGACCATTTGTCTGTCATAATTGAGTTCATATCGATTACAAAAGTCTGATCAGTTTATGATTAGCATCGAGAAAAGTTCGCCATAATTATGACAATGAATTGATTCATTAGAATGTCAATCATATTTTTTCCACTGATCATCATGAGAAAAAGTAATTGGAGTAAGCAGTTACATTAAATTTCATCATAAAAGGTGCAACTCATTCATACGTGATGTAACTATAAAGAGTATGCATTAAAAGTGACATATTTGTGAATCTTAGACATTTGAAAAATATATGTATCTTTTCTTCTATTGATCTGTTGACTCAATAAAGATCGGCTCTTACCATTCAAAGTTCCTAACAAATGAACGCGTTTTCCTTGTTGATAATATTCAGCTTTGGTTTTGTATAGAAAGATATATAGGTCCATGGCACAATCAACAGTTTATTCTGTTGAAGAACTGATATCAATCTAACAATGAAGATGTGTGTGTGTGTGCTGTAACTCAAGAACAGTGGACATACTCGGGTCAAATTAAAGGCCTTCTTGTCAAGCTATCAAATTTAAAATATGAACTGCTAATAACGTGCCCAGACTGAGATGTTGGAATATCAGGATAGCATATTTCTGGTTTCGTACAGTGATCTGCGACGCATCGAATGGCATATAAGGCATTAAGTTTTATGGAAATTCGGATGAACTATGGGTCGATACAGTGATTATTATGCTTGGAGACTATTATAGAGTGCTCATAAAGATTATAATCCATAGAAAAAGTTATAGATGCTATTCGATTCTCCATAATCAATACTTTTATTTGTTAGCTTCTTCATAGTGAAAAATGGTATCTTTTCTTAAGTCTAAGCTATTTTTTGACTATTATGATATTACAGTGTGTTCAACTCTATATCACACAATAGGTGAGTACCGACATGAAACTTTCTCAATAATTGCACACTATCGAGTGCTATATGTTTCCCAAATAACATCATTTCTAACAGTCAACGCTCAGTGTCAGCTCGTAAGATTGTTTCCTAGAATAGCCTACTTTCTTACATGAAGATACCAGTATATTAACGATATACTAACGCATAGCATTTCTGGTGATCTTATGTAAATGCCACGTTCATAAATGGAAAAGACGTTTTTGGCTTCGAGAGATCCCTAGAAGTGAATATGAAGACATAGAAAAATTTATTTTTAAAATGAACATGAGATTTTTTTAACCTCAATCCACTCAACTCCTTGCTGCAATCTTTTACTGTACGCTCTCCAGAGATTCGAAGACTAACAAGTTTTTTCCTGCCATAAAGGATTTGTTTTTTATCAACTCATCATGAATGCTGTGCTCATCATTGGTAATCAAAAATTTCTAGTAGAAAATTTGAGTATTGTAAATATATCGTCAACATACCGGCTGCTTCACTTAAGCAAGTAGGCTATTCTAAGGGATAATCTTACAAGTTGGCAATGAGCTGTGACTGTTCCGAAAGATGTTATGTTTGAAACATATAGAACTCGATAGTGTGCAATTATTGAAAAAGTTTCGTGCTGGTACTCACTGATTCTGTGGCACACAGTTGCATACTTTGCAATATCACTATAGTGAAGAGATAGCCTGGTTCTAAGAAAAGAGACCATCTTTAACTATGAAGAAACTAATAAATAAAAGTATTGATTATGAAGAATTGAAGAGTATATATAATTATATCGAATTCACTTTAAAAAACTGCATAAGTCTATCTTAGAAAATTCTAGAGGTTACAATACCTATGAGTACCCTACAATCGAATATCTCGGTTCAGAGACGCCACAAGCAGTTCACATTTTAAATTTGTTAGTTTGACAATGAGACCTTAAATTTGACCTGGATGTGTCCAATATCCTTAAGTTACAGCACACATAGTTCTATTGTTAGATCAAAATGCGAGTCATATACAACAGATAAAGGAAGTAGTTGTTATTAGCATACAACATTAATATGATTCTAATGGAATAGAGAATTCAATTTAATATTCATTTATGCAATTATTAATGATACAATATGAACTTGATGATGACTAAGAGAATGAATAATCCTTTTTTTGTCTCTCTCATTGTCATTAAATGAATAATGAAATTATTCATACAACAGCCAGAATTTGAATAGGATCAATTGAAGTCGATTTAGATTTCGGTGTTTGATTAAAGTACGAGAAAATAAAATTTTTGCTATTTCTTATGTTTCTATATCAAATAAGTAAATCTATTAGCAACTGTGAATGTACAATTCTATATCAGATAAACAAGTAAAGATATTCCTAAAATAATATTATCAACTTCATTCATATGAATCCAACATGTTAAAAACATAAATATGAAAATCTTGTTTTTTTTCGATTTTTCGTTCAAATAGATTTATTTCATCAAAACAAAAAACTAAAAAATATTTATTTTGAAAATTCTTCCATTTTCAAAAATAACAAAATTTGAAATTCACCTTGATATGCCATTGCATCCATTAAAAAATCTTCTATAACCAAAAGCTATTTAAATTATTCATATAAAACTTTGATGTAAGTTAAACATTTAAAAATAAATAATAAACTTCTCAATTACCTATTAATTTTACTTCCATTTTGAATATAAACCATCAAAAAAAAACCAACTCTATCTGCAGTATATCACCTAAAAGATAAAAATTTATATTTTTTCGTACCTGATTTTCATTGAATTCATATTTCATTATCATATCGATGATTCAACGTAAAACCAATGAGTTTTCAATCCATTATATTCATAAATAGAACCAAAAAACTTTTTCTTTTCCTATCATTATATAAACCATTGTTCATAAACTGAAAAACAAAGAATAGCAAAACTGATTTATTCTATCATACAGATTCGACTGTTTTCTCAATCACAGTCGTGGGTTTAATCAATAGAATAGAATCATATTAAGTATTTATTAATTATTATTAGAAATTAAATTGTGTTCCGAAACAAAAACCTTTGCTAAAATCTTGTTCATCTACATTAAATTCACTATGCTCTGTTTCACCTCTTTTATTCCTCCCATGAAATTTGTACAGAAGACTTTCAAACTCTTGATCTTTGTATTAAATAAATGCATCTAACTTGCGATGCAAAATTATATTAGGTTGCTGACTTTGATCTCAAGTATTAACTATATATTTGTCCTGAAAAATCCAAAACGGAGGAAACTCTAAAAGCAAATACCTCTATCAATATCAGCGTTACTAAAAATTTTAAATTCATTTTTAACACTTAAAAAAAAACAAAGAAAAAAATGAATTTACCAATTATATCATTAAACAGTTGTTTTTACAGACGTTTTCTTATTTTCTTTGACTTTCCATATCTGTCCTGAAAAAAAAAGTTTGTTATAAAATTTCTTATCGAGAAATTGTTTGGTTCAACATGAGCAAAACAAGATTGCTTGATTGGAATTTTTATATCGTATTTAATAATAAATTTGACATTGTAAGTGTATTATTGATTTTTTTTTCAAGTAATGTTATTCAATTCAATGAAGATCAAAAGAGTTCATATTTACTATTGAAAGCAGGTTAATGTAAACATTGACGTCTATCATAAGTGTGCTTTTAGGCAAATGATATGTAATAAAGTTGTATTTATAAAAATGGTGACAATTCAAATTTATTGTGTCATTCATATTTTTTATCGTATTCCTACCAGATCAACAAGAACAAGAAAATCATGTTATTCCGCTCAATATTTATTATTGCTATTCTTATTAATCTTTTTTATGTTGTATTTGTTCAATCTGAACAAGGAAATCCTATTTCTTTAAATCATTTACAAGCAAAATTTCCTTTAATTAATGATGAAGAAGCATCACAATGGCTTTCAACACGTAACATTCCACGTCGTTGGCGTCATCAAAATATTAATCAACCATCGAACGAAATTAATCAATCATTGAAAAAATTAGAAGCACTCAATAACAATGGTATACGTCAATTTGATACACTAGGATTCGAAGGTGTTTCTATGGAGGTTATATTCGAAATGGTTTCTAAACAAAATAATGCTGCATCCGGTTAAATTTCTTTATGTGAATTTTCTGTCAGTATCTATTTTGAACACTAATAAAAAAAAAGCCCAGCATATATGCATTGAAATACTTTGAAAAAAAATACAAAATAAAAAGATATTATCTTTTCTGATCTTATTTGTTTTGTTTTTATTGAACGTTATCTTGGTCATAAAAAATTTTTTTTTCTCTAAACGTCATATAGGCAATCGATAACTTGATGATGCAATTTATTCTCACCTTAGATATGATATGAATCGAATGTCAATAAAAAAACAAATAACAATTGTTTTATAAACATGTTAATTTGTTATTGAAAACGAACACCATCTTTATCAATGTTTAGATAGAAACAAAATAAGAGATATTTTCATTTTCTTCTATTACATTCTTAGAATATTTAAACAGTCTCTCTCTCTTCTCAACGGGGGGTTAAAAAACAAAAATTAAGTAAAATTTTTGACGTAAGACAGAACAGCAAAAGTTGATTATCCCTGTTGAAAGAATACGCTTCATTTATTAATAAGAAACTTCTTTTTTTTCTCCCACACATAAGAAGAAAACATCATTTTGTTCTATAATTTCAAATCAAGTTTCTACTGTCCATGTTTGATGTCAGAAAAAAAAGAGAATCAATTTCATACATATGTGTTTTGTCAAATAAACGAACCGAATAAAAGCTCTCATCGGGATTGTCTTACGTATATAAATTAGTCATTTATCTAAAAATAAAAATTTTTTAACAGAATTGATCGGTATGTTGATTGTCTTTGAATAATAGTTCCACTACATTTAATATTCGATTTCAAAACAATAAGAAAGACTTTGTCACGAATCGCTAAGCTCTCTTAAATCTAAATGTCGGCGCCGATAGTTATGTTGAATATAAAACGTTAATCTCATGTCACCTACCATCTTTTTTTTTTCAATTTAAATAAACAAACAAAATCAATCGCCTAAAGCACGCTCGCGCAATAATGTCGGTCTTTCTTTCTATTTTTACAGATACAAATCGCGCTCAAAACGTGTCATCACACCTTGTCATTTTTTTTCTTTCTTAAGAAAAACAAAATGTGTGGGAAAATAATGCTAAATATATACACATACAATTAACACATGAACAGAAAGAAGAAAATGCTAATTTCTTAGATCGACTCTTATGTCATAAATATGATTTAATTAAAATTAGAATATCTTTAATAAAGTAAAATCTTTGTTTTTGAAAAAAAATTGATTATTTGAAATCTAAAAGATTTATTGTTAAGTTGATGAAGAAACAGTAGTGAGTTTAGAGAAAGACAATCGTCTTTCCCTTCGGAAGCTATCTTTTGATATTTTTGGACTAATCAATGTTTCACTAGAAAAATATTTTTCTTATCTGTCCAGATGAATAGAGCATATCGAATTGCTTGACATATAGTAGCTTCTTCTGTTTCAAATGTTTTTTTTTTGTTTTTCAGAAAATACAAACATTTTAAGTCACAAAGAGAGATACAAATCAACATTTCCACGTGAAAATTTTGTTATTTTACTTCAAATTCATTTTTGAAAAATAGAAAAGGTTATTTTCTTATAAGCAATTCAATATACTCTATAATCTTGGTATATATAATTCAATTTTGTCAAAATAATTGTTCGTCTAGAAAACCAATGTCTAAACATCTAAGAAGATTTCTTACAGTCACATTCAGAATCAGCACGGCAGATAAATTATTGTCCCATAACTTTTAGTAAAAAAAACGATTGATCAATTAAAAACGTTTTTTCATCAGTAGAAAACGCCTCAAAATGAACGGATTTGGCTCAGAACTCTTAATAAGTCTTAAAAGTGGAAGGGATTAAAAATCTGACAGACAAGTTCGAAATAATTCGTCTGGTAGAAATTGACTAAGAAAAGCTGCTTTCTAAGATATAGTGGATAGAACATGAAGCGTGTGGAAGCACAATTCCATCCCACATCAAGACCAATGATCCGACCTGTTACAAATTTCATAATTTTTCTTGTGATCATGATTGCCCTTTATTGCAAAGAAAATATCCGATGTACTCCATTAATATCTTTTTGTAATTCAGTGATGAGTTTACTGCAGTTCTTTATGTTTTGAAGTCAATATGAATTCCTATAGGTTGCAGAAACAAGTTAAGACATTCATTTATTCGACACACTTTTGTTAACTCGCAACATGCGTTTCGATTGTGAACAGCCACAACGTAATTATAATTTCTTTTCTTTCTTTCTTTCTTTCTTTCTGTTTTCTTCTCCTTCTCTTATTCTATCATATCCAATCATTTTGTTAATGTTCATTTCTAGTTTAATATCGCCAGAGGAAACGCATACATAACGATGGAACAACAGAAACAACTAACAACAATGTTTTCTATTGAAAAATCTTTCTATTTAAATAAATCTATTAAATCTCATCCAAAACGTCGATTTATTGCTGATAGTATTCAAAAAGTTTGTATTTATATTTTTATTAAAATAAAATTTCTTTCAAAAATTAATTATTTTAGTTAAATGATGATGAAAAAATGTCTGATGATATATTTGCATTAACAATGTATATATTTGATAGATTTATTTCAACATATTCTTTATCAATAAATAATCATGATTGTCAATTAATTGCATTATCTTGTTATAATTTAGCTAAAAAACTTCGTACTAACACATCAATTAATAATGAAAATGAACAAATGTCATGGATATATTTAAATGAAAATTACAGTGAAAAAGAAATATTTGTAAGTCATTTTCAACAATAAAAAAAAAAACAATAACAAAGAATTTTCAAAAACAAAAATTCTTATTTTAGAATACAGAACAACTTATTGTCGAAACATTAGATTGGGATTTATCAATGGTTGTTCCACATGATTATATTCATTTAATATTTCAATCTATTCTATTAAATGAAATTGAACAAGCTAAAATTCATTTACATGTTCATATTCTTTTATCAATCGGAATATGTGGTAAAGTTAAATTTCTAAAAAAATCTTTCTACGAGAAACTAAATTCTCCCTCTAGCTTCGGTACTGAATTTTCAATAATTTTTTTTTTTCTTTATTTTATAGAATTAAATACATTAACAATATTACCAAGTGTCTTATGTTGTGCTTGTATAAAAGCAGCAATCAAAGGTCTTTGTATAATAAATCATCATCAAATCGATGAATTATTATTAAAAATAATTCATTGTAATAAATTTGATCTTATTCATACACAACGTATAATTGATCAATTATTTCAATGTTGTTTACAAGAAATATTTCCATCACCAAGACGTCGTTGTTTAGTACCAATTGATACAAACAATCAAACAAATACAAGTCCACGTGTCAAATGAGAAAAAAAAAACTCTTTTTTTTTTATTATAATTTTTCATAGTTCTTTTATTTTGTACACATTATTTTCTTTGAAAGAGACTATTTGAAAAAAAATATTTTTTTTCTTGTCTTTATACAATAAAAATGAGCATTCGATTTGTTTAGATTTAAATAAATATTGAATTAAAATTATGTCACGTTGGACATACACTTGTTAATGACACCTTCAGTCTTTTTTTTTTTTTGTTTATTCAAATGAAATGAAAAGATAGATTCTTTTTTAATGAATTCATATGATGTAATTGTTCAAGGAATAACGATGATGAGAAAAAGAAAAATATGATTTCATATAGCTACTTGAAGAAAAACAAAAAAAATACTTGTTCTGATGATACAATCACTTTAGATTAATAAGAAATATCTTTTACTTTCGATTGATCAATAACTTAAATAATGTCCTGTGGAGAGAGAATGAAAGAAGTTAAATCATTTATTTTTAGAAGAGAACATGCTGAGAATATGGAAAAGAACATTGAGCTCAACTGTGTTCAATAAAAACAAGAAGAATAATAAATAATGAAAATGATAGTCGTTAAGAGTTACGTTAATTTTATTTTTATGTTTTTAAAACTTTAGATAGTAAAATAAAAAATATTCAATGTTATATGATAAATTTTCTTGTTACACCTATGTTATTATCTACAAGCGATCATTTATCTTTATATTTACATTTGAAAATGAAAATATGAAGATTATTTTCAAGTTTGTAAAATAGTCTTATCAACTTATGATATTGAACAAATAGCATAGAAAATTTTATTTATCTTGACTTCAGCTTCATCAGTAGTATGTTTATATAACTATCGAAAGATAGAACTAAAAATTTAGTTATTCTCAATAAATACTAAATGAATTCAGATTTGATAACCAATTATAAATAGTTGTCAGCGCAGTTCATTTGAGACTAAAATGTAAAACTTAGATATATTCATGAGTCTCATTATATAAATGCAAAATATGTTAAGTGAAAAATCACTAGTAGACTATAATTGTTTTTGAAAAGATAATCGATCACTGGACAACCGATTTCTGCATTTCGAACAGAAATGTTTTTTTTTTATTTCCTTGGTTGCATTTCTTTTTCGTATTTCGTTTTAATTTAACCGTTGATTTACCTGACAAATAAGCCTGTTGTAGATATTTATTATATCTACATCAGGTTTCAATACACTACTATATACCGCAATAAATTCACAAACATTGATATTGATTATTCTTCAAAGTTATAACTTGATCAGTTCATGTTTTTATATTGATTATATGATGGCAATGACAAATTACTAATCATCAACATTGGCATCTTGAATATAAATTTTTATCTGCGCAAAAAACAAAAACTGTTCTATATAGAACATGCAAAAACATATTCCAGCCGTTCGAATTTCGTGGACGGTTTTGGAATATTCTAGAACAATGACAGTCTTGTTGTGTTAATGTCATTCAGGTCCTTTTTCTGTTGTAAAGGAACTGTGAGAAAAGAATCTGTTGTCCTCTGTTGCTATGAAGAGAGCCGTAAAGTTTCGGCTTAAAATTTACACTCATTAAGTTCCACAAAATAGAACATATATTTTCTTTTACTGCTTTTTACAAGTATAGCTTAAATTCGTTTAACGTATTTCCATTGTAGTAATAAAAAACTTCTTTTTTTTAAAAGTTTTCTTCGTATATTTTTATCATTCCATTCGAAATATTACTCTCAAAATCAATTTGATAATATTTGTCTATTAGTTAGTATTTCTAAATACAAAAAACGACAAAAAATTAGTTTGTTTTTTTGAAACCATTTACGTGTTACTTTTCATCCATTGTACACAAATAGGTGGTTAAAGACGAAGGAAAACAAAAAACAAAAAAGCATACAAATATATTATTAAGAATAATATGAATAAAAACATCTCTCACACTTCATCTTAATTAAGTCTCTTAATTCGCTTTCTATATGCGTAAATTTCTTACAAACAAACACCAAAAAAATCATAAAACACAGTTGAAAAGAAAACGAAGAAAAAGCATTTTCTGAATTAAACAAATTTTATTTATCAGTATCTCGGACGTTTTCGATCAAATCCTTGTTGTTGTTGCTGTTGATTAAAGTCAACCCCACCTGTACGTACATTAGGACCTGATGGTAAATTATATCCACGTGCTACCTGATTTGTTGTATAAGCAGCATCTATTGGTGATGATTGTTGAATAAATGTTGTCGGATTTGCATATGGAGTTTGTTGAAAATTATTATACGGATATGTATTAGATGCTGCCTGATTTTGATGATATGCATTACCTACAGAAACATTATATGCATCAGGATGATGCATTGGCATCATATTACGACGACGTTCAAAATCATGTGATCGAAGTTCGTCGATTCGACGAAGATCTTCTTGACGACGTGTTAATTCTAGAAACAATATAACACACACTTACCATACAACGAACTTGACATCAATTTTTTGTTTTTTCTTTTATAAATATTTTTTGTTGCGATTATAATAATCGACAGAAAAAATATTTAATCATATCTTGTAGATATTTATATATTTACAATAAAAGAACAGTTAAGATTTCTGGATAGACAAAAAACAGCATCAACTAATCGTTAGATTCTTCTCGAATAACAAATAAAACAAGCCTATCTCTTTTAGTATCTGCCACAAGTCTAGCAGATAAATGTTAAGTTTTTACAACTAAGGCATCTAACGGCACGAAGTGCAGCAACCGACTTATTGCTTTTCAATATCTATGCGACATATCAGTTATGATTCAAGACAGTGTCTCGTTCTCAGCATTTGAACATCATTTCGAATCGGAAAAAAGTCTGCTAAAATCACATGAACGTATAACGAATGCATGTCTCTACAATCCGTTTTTTTCAAACTCGACGACATTTAAGAGATATACATAGACGGCAAACGATAATTAACGATTGATAGTTTCCTTACATGCAGATGTGTGATTCAATCTTGCAACGACTATTTATATCCTAGATGTTAGATGCATATATATATATATACTTTAATTATAGAGTCTTTTGTCAGTTAAAATAATCTGGGACAAAGTCTCAAATGTCTACAAAAAATTTTGACATGACTTCTATTGATCAACTAAGAGAAATAATCGTAATCAATCGATAGAAAAAAAATAATTTTTCATTCAAATTTAATATTAATCATATGTCAAAAACAAATAAAAAGAGAATTAATATTAGAATTTGTTTCAACAAGATATTTTTACTTTTCTTCTAACTAATTCATTTAAAAATTCAATTAAAAACATTTCGATAGTAATATCAATTCGTTGTAAAGTATTAGTACAAAGTCGATAAAAATCGATTTCGCTATACATTACAAACAAACGAATCACATTCAACGGAAAATTATTCGTCAAATATTTATTATATTAACTGTATTCTATAAATTATGGAAACAAAAAATACTTGATAGAAACATTCAATGTGAATTCTTAGAATATCCAATATCTATTGATTACTTTTTTCAAATAAAAACGAACTTATACAAATACATATAGAAGTTAGCCGCTTTCTCTACTCGAGTGTATTGAAAAACCAATTATTATTTTTTTCTATTACTTTATAATGAAACTTCATACACCAAGAAATCAATAACAATTATTCGACTAAAAATTCATGCGTAAACATATATATTACTTCGATAAATATCTATTCATATAATATTTCTTATCTTTTTTTCTATCATTTGCACTTTTCAAATCAACAAAAAAACCTTTTTCTTTTTTAATTTCCTACCGTCTCTTAATAATTGTGCTTCATGTTCTAGTAACATTTGATTAATTTCAATTTGTAATTGTTCCGATGCATATTGCATACGTTTTTTAACTTCTTCTAATAATTGTTTTTCTTGTAGTTCTAATTGTTTCCATTTAAGACCAATTGTATATTCAATTGTATTTGGTTCAGCAAAACGTGGTGGTAATTCTCTTTCTCTAAAGAAAATTAATTTTTTAATTTATGAAGATTATTGAATAATTCATATGTAATTTACTTAAAATATACATCATTACGAGTTAATAATTTTTCTGGTAGACCATCATCTTCATCTTTCATATCCCATGGTTCAACAATAATTGGTTTTGAGTCTCTTTAATAAAAAAAAAATAACAAAACAAATATATACTCAAGAGTTACTATTCAATCAACGATTCAAGGCTTTCAATTGTATTGTCGAAACGATTTTGAACTTCTTAGGATATTTCATCAGGATTCGGAAAAATCTCAATGACAAATCATTCGAAAGTTCCTAAGATTTCGGTGAAAAGAACTTCAATAAGGCTAAAAATTTGATTCTACACCTAAAACAGCATGCTATGAAATGACAGATGGAAACTTCGAATTTTAAATATATACAAAATGAAAATTCAATATTTGTTTTTTTTATAAGAAGGTTGAAGATTCATACTGTAAATAAATAACAATAAAAAATATTGAAAACAAGAAATTGAAGAATAATAAAACATTCGAAAATTAGAAATATCAATATATACCGTCGATTAAGTAATTTTGATTCGTCAAAGACTAATAGTTGAAAAATTGAAAATGGCATTCATCTTTTTTCTCTCATTACAAATTGAAACTGTTTTCTGTTTTAATTTGTAAGCAAGAAAATAACAAGAGAAGAATTATATTTTTTTTCTTAGATATTTTCTAAATCAATGACATAATCGTTTTCGATAAATATCTTTGCATTAAATTAGTTTTTTTTTTTTATAAAATTTCGAAATAATCAGAATCAATATTTTCGATCGTGACAATATTCGATTTCACTACTCTTCAAGAGTGTTCTGAGTTTGTTAGCATTAGCCATGAAAATTTTTCAAGATTAGAGAAGTTATCCGTTCTCCAGGGTGTACATTAGATGTATGAAACAAAAGTCACATGTATAAATATACTTTAAGATATCCTTAATCTAGGGATAGAAAATTTTTTGTTACGAATTCTAAGGAGATTGGAATAACCGGAATTCAAGAATTAGCATGAAACATTGATATCGATGAGAAAATCAATTATAGACTACCTACCTGATAGGAATGCCTGGTAGATATTCTGAATCTACTTATCGTATGAAATCAATCATCGAAGAAATCTTTTCATTTGAATATGTAACTTATGAAGAAAAAGAAATAGTAGTTTTTTTTCAGTTAATTTTCCACATCGTTCAGCTCAGCAAAATGAACTCGTATAATCTAAATTCACTCAAACTGCATCTTCTATCATTAAAATTAGCATAAACACTCCTGAATCATACATCAAGTTTCCCCTCCAAAAAAAATCCTGAATTTTTCTGTTAAACTTCTGTTTCTTAGACTCTAAAGCATTTCTATTGCAAATCAATATTATTTTCAACAAAAGTTTCATATCCCACTATCATGTGAAAAATAACTACTATGCGTTCAGAATACTTCCTTACTTCTATCTATTCTTAAATATATAAAAAAAAATGTTTATTTAAAAATTCAAATTATTTATTTACCGTGTTATAAAGAAACATTTTTCAGTACATTCATTAAGACATTTTTGTGCCGATGGTTTTTTTTCAAATTCAACAATTCCTTCACCAGTTGATTTTCCTCGATCATCAACAATAATAACAGCACGCTCAACACCACCAAAATATTGTTCAAATGCTTCTTTAAGTAATTCATTTGATACATTCATTGATAAATTTTTAACTTTAACAATGGCACCTTGACTTGCAAAACGAATACGTAATGGTTTACCACGTAAAATATGACCATCAAGATCAGTTTTAGCTTGTTCAGCTAATTGTCTTGAACTCTAAAAATCAACATTCAAAACCAGATAAACTTAACAACAACAAAAAAAACGATATCAACATACAAGTTTAACAAAACCAAAACCACGTGATGGATTGACATAATATTCAATAAGTTCACCATATTTATTAAATAAGGTTTGAAATTCTTCTTGTGTTAAATCTGATGGAATGTTACCAATAAATAAACGTGAACGACCACCTTGGGAAGTTTTTTGTGATGTTGAAGTATTTGTTTGTTGACCTGGATATGGTCGTTTTTGTCCCCCAGAACCTACTAGTGGTTGTTCATCTACAGGTGTAACATTTGTTGAAGTATTTGTTTTATTCTCAATAGAACTCGTTTGATTTGATGTTGTTAAACTAAAATTTCATGAAAATTTTTCTAGAGAAAATTTAATAAGAAAAAAACTATACGATGAATTATTTTGTTCAGATTTTCCTGTTTGATTTTGCATAGGTGAATTGGATGTGATTGTTGATGCTGGTGTAGAACTTAAAGAAAAACGATTTCTCTAATGGAAAAATTGATCTTTTGGAAAATATTTACGTATTAATTTCAGTTGATGGTTTATTAGAAAGTTGTTGAGTATTATTTGGTTTGGATAGTTGAGGTCTTTAACAAAAAATAGATTTTATTGGATTGTTATTTTTGTTTTTTTTTTTTGAAATTATTTACCGAATATCAGTGAAATTATTTCTTGGAATATTTCGATTCGGTAGTGGTTGATTAAATCTATAATAGATTTCGCATGTATGAAAACAACGAGATAAAATTTTATTTTACCGTGGACCGGTACGTTCATTTGTTAGAGGTCGTGTATAACGAACACCTTTATTAAAATTAGCCATGAATTAAATATAAATTTTACTTGATAGTTTGAATAAAAGATAAAACGAAATTATTCAATTACAATATTTGACTTCCATCATGCAACAAATCTGTTCGTTCGCCATTTTTGTATTTTTCTTCTTAAATCCTCTATTGAGATTAGATAGTCTCAGAAATAATTTAAGATTAGGAATAAATTTGATACTTTTTTTTAATGAAAAATTTAATTAATAAAATATAGATGTGAAATATTATAAATAACATTGAAAGTAGCGCTCTTAATGTCAATTGATTGTTCAAGTTAACCATCGATGTGACACATGAAATAAGTATTCGTTTATTTCTTTCCTAAGGTAATATTACAATTGAAGTGGTCTATCTCATGGAAGAAATCTTTTAATAAAGTTAATAAAACTGATATGGAATTAAATATGAAAAATAAATTTCTTTCTTATTAAAGATGTCGGATTGAGAAATTCTTTTGTATGATCAAGTTAAACAAGATCTTAATGGCGTAGTTAGATCGATAATTTCTCTTTTGGGTAAAATAATCAATAAACTATTTGATTAAGGTGAAACAAAAGATATTTATTCTATTTATTTAATTATAAACAATTTGATAGAGAAGAAAAAGTATCATCATCATTTTTTTCACGTCATATATTACAGTTCGTTTATTAAATATTAAATATCTAGGCTAAAAACCTAAATTACGTGTAGATACAACAAGTATAATTTTATTTTCAGATTTAATTATTTAAATAATGTCATCAGAAGATATGTCAAGTTCAAATCTTTTTCTCAATGAATTTTCCGATGTATCTTCATATAAAGATGTAAATATAATTTTCGCATAAAAAAAGAAAATATATAATTTTTTGTTTTTTATTCAGACTGCATGTTCACTTGTAATGAAATTAATACGTTCATCAAATGATTTATCTCGTGCAAGTGATCATGATTTTTTGATGAGTTTTGCTCCACTTCGTCGTCGAATGGATACAGTAGCTGAAAAAATTTTACAAAAGTACAAATCAAATTTTTAATCGTTGTTAAAAAAATACAAAATAATTTTTTTTTTTATTTTTTTTTCTCGATAATATTAGTATGAATTCTTTATTAAAACAACAAAATTTACGTCGTGATTTGGGTATTGTATCATGGAAAGAAGCTGATTATGATGATAAAATTGAAAAATTAATTGATATTAATGATATTCTATTCGAACGAATTGTAAATTTTTCATTTTTTCTTAATAACAAAATTTTCTTTTTCTTTTTCTTTTTTCTGTTTAGTCTTCATCTCTTGATGAAGCAGCAGGATTAAAAAAGATTTCATCTGAAGTAAAATCTCTTGTTCCATCGATTCGTAATGTTCCTGCAACATGGAATAAAGAAGTAGAAATAAAAATAAGAACAAAAAACGAACTCTTCTTTTTTTTTTTTTCTTTTTTACTTTCTTAGGATGGATTTGTTTTACAAGAAAGTATACCTACATTCAAACAACAACAAAAACGTAGTTCAAGTACATTTGCAATAAATCATCAACAAACAAAAAATATTCCTAAACCACAAATAAAATTTACTGATAAAGTTGATAATAATCCTCATACTCCATTCATTCCAAAACTTCGAACAAAACCTAATGCTATAACACCATTACCAAGTTAGTTTCGAAAATTTATAGTGAAAATTTTTTTTTCAAATCAAAATTTTCCTTTTAGTTATGTTTTCACAATTAGATTCTCGTTCATCGGATACGCTTCTATTAGAAAGACATCCAGAAATGTGAGTATTGTCTTTTTTGTGTGAAGCATGATCTAAGACGAGTATAGAAGTAGAAACTTGGACCTACAGATCGTGACAAAGTTTGTTGATATACGATTAAGGAATGTATATCAATATCATTTCGTTATAATATATGAACTAATTTCTTATTGTATTTCTGGAAGATTAAGTAAAAAAAGATGATGAAGAGATATGTCTGAATAGAAAAATATCTGTGCGATTAACAACAGGAGCGAAATCGTGTTTCACATATTGATCTCGTAGGAATTGCAATGAGAGCAATTTTTTTGTGATGAGATAAAATAAGAATTGAATTTTATACATTTTAGATTACTTCATCCATATTTCGATGAAATTGAAGCATTTGAACCAAATGAAAATTTATTAAAAGAAGTCAAAGTTCAGGTATAAAAAACGTTTCAAAAAACTTTAATGTTTACTAGAAAAAAAAAATGAAATTTAATAATAACACTTTTTTGTTTTCAAAAACATGAATAAGTATTAATGGAGACTCATGTGATTCAAATCGGAAAAAACCTGCCCATTTTACGAACAAATATACAACATAGGAGTTTTTCGATAACTATTGTTCGCATAATCAATAAAGTACATGGAAAAAAACATATTTATTTACTAAAAAAAATGAAAAATTTTTATGTTATACTTGTCTTTCTAATCGATTTAAATCTGTACGAAAAGTAGACTTCATTGATTTTATACTATATAGTGTTCTAATAAAAATTCTGAAAAAAATTTGGATTCCTATTGAAATTTGACAAAACTATCGAATTTTTAATGTCTATTTTCTAGAGATCCTAAATTTTTGAACACTTGCATCTTCAAATTCTGAGCCGAAATTTTGTGCATATCGAGAATTCAACAAGAATAGCTTTCATAAAAAAATTCAGAAGTTTTGAGTAAAGTCTCTTTGAGAAGTGAAGCTTTCGAAAAATCCATATTGTATACACTATCCATAAAAAAGGATCTATATCTTGAAAGTCTCTATTGTCGAAGAGATTTTGTTTAAAAGTTGTGAATTCTTTTATGAAAGCTGCTCTAGTTGAGTTCTCTATATGCACAAAATGTCAGATCAAAGCTCGAAAATATTAATTGTCCGAAAACTTGGATCTTCTAGAAAAAAAATTCAATAGCTTAGTCAAATATCAAAAAACAACACAAATTGTTTTATGATTTTTATTCAAACGCTATGTAGTACCTATAATCCAAAAAAGTCATTAAAACTGAACGGCAACAGCTGAATAGATTTCCTCGTAAGCGTGAAATCAGAACTAAACATATTTTTTGACCGAAACTAACAACGATTGATTCCGCTCGTGTTTATCTTGTAACGAAATCTTTCATTGACAAATAATGTTACAATAAACATGATATTACATATTTTTATGTTTCGAGAAACTTACATAGGTATCACCTAATTTTTATTCAAACTGAAAACATAAGATCTATTCATTTAAAGATTAAGAGAAACATAATAATTTTGAATATTTTCTTTTAGGTACCAAAATCACTTGACGAAACAAAATATTTATTTGTTGATACGCCTGATAAACTTAAAACAATGATAGATCATATTGAAATTCAATCTGAATTAGCAATTGATTTAGAAGTATTTCTTATTTTTCTTTTTTTTTATGAAATGAAAATATTTGTTTTTTGTATCTAGCATCATTCTTATCGTTCGTATCAAGGTTTTACATGTTTAATGCAAATTTCATCACGTACAGAAGATTTTCTAATTGATACAATTACATTACGAGATGAATTAAATATTCTAAATAATATTTTTACAAATCCAAATATTGTTAAAGTAAATTGTCTAATTTTTTTTTTCTTTTAATTCAAATCAAATGTTGTTGTTTTCCTTTTTGTTAAAATTCTAAATAGGTTTTTCATGGTGCAGATTCTGATATTGAATGGTTACAAAAAGATTTTGGTCTTTATATTGTTAATATGTTTGATACACATCAAGCAGCACGAGAACTTAATTTACCAGCATTTTCACTTGCTTATCTATTAAAATCTTATTGTGATATTGATGCTAATAAACAATTTCAATTAGCTGATTGGAGAATAAGGTTTTTATTGAAATTAATTATGTAAAGACAACAAATATTGATTTATTTAATTATTTTAGACCTTTACCAGAAGAATATCTTCGTTATGCTCGTGAAGATACTCATTATCTTCTTTATATATATGATTTATTACGTAATCGTTTAATAGAAAAAAATCCTCAATTTCTTAAAACTGTTTATGAAAAATCGAAAATAATTTGTCAAAAAGTAATTAATATAATTAAATATGATTTAATTTAATATATTGTTGTTTTTCTTTTTTTTCATATATTAAGCTTTATAAAAAACCATATTTTGATGATAATGCATATCAAAATATTTATTTAAAATCACGTAAAACATTTAATATTCGACAATTAGCTGCTTTAAAATCTCTCTATTATTGGCGTGATAAAATTGCTCGTCATGAAGATGAATCAACCGGGTATGAAAAATTAACCTTTTTCTTTATTTTTACTTATTTAATTTTTATTCTTTCTATTCTAAAGATATGTATTACCTAATCATATGCTTCTTCAAATCTCAGAAATTCTTCCAAGGTTTGAAAACAATCACTTTTCTTTTTTATTGAAACTCATTTACATTTTTTTGTGAAACATGATCTAAAATGTATGATGAAGTATAGCGATTAGAAGCCAAACTTCTCTTCCTGCATGACAGACGTTGCTATACGATCACAACACAGTGAAGGTTTGATAGAACCTGCAGAGTCCAAATTTTTCGAGATTCGAACAGTATCTTTGTACATTTGAATTAATAAATAGTTTTTATGATAACATAAAATGTGCTCCTAGATGTTAAATTTATTGAAAACATTTAATCGCAAATAAGGTCGAATTGCAACGTCTTTAGACAATAACATGATTTTTTTTGTGAAAAATAAGTGCGATAATAGATTATATATAATCTGAAATTAGGATTTCTATTCTATCGCGTTCAAAGAGAAGCTTTCTTTCCGAAAAGTTGTCTCTTCAATAAAGTTGACCACCACTATTTTCAGTAATCTGAGAAATAGCAAAAATTTCAAAAAATATTCTTCTATACCTGACATATACCCTCAGTTAGTGCGCCAAGGATTCTGAACTGAGATACAGGTTTTATAGAAATCTTAGTTTTTAAATGGTTTTTTTCTATTTT